CAATCTCCTACGGATTCTCCATACGGATTCTTACTTCTGCTCACATGGATTGATTGGCATTTCTCAGCACACACAGACCCCACAGCAGTCACCACTAGCTTCAAAGGTGCCTACAGGTAGGTGTGGTGCGTACAGCCTTCGAGTTCTGGTGACGACCCGACAATCATGGAGGGAGAACTCTGTGGTGATGATGTGGTGAGAGCTCTGTCTCTTGGTCGAATCCGTGGCAAGTCAGGGGGGGGTGGGGGTATGCCCGTCCAAAAAAATCCGTCGGGCCAACTTTCGGGAGCCATAAGAGTCAATCAATCAAGCCTATTTCTTCTGCACCTTCCCAACACACCGGTCGCCCCGGTGGTCTAGTTGGTATCCGCGAAACCTTCTAGAGGTCAGGTCAGGGGTTCGAATCCCGGCGTAAGCGAGCTTTGTTTCTTGCAAATTGAGGTTTAAAATTTTCTCTCGCTTCCGCTCCTGGTCTTCTATAATAGTGGATAGCGCTCGTTCGCTATATATATGGTTCATGACCTTAAAAAAACGTACTTCGGTGTGTCTAAATCCCCCCCCGTCTGTATCTCCGCCCAAACAGCACCTATCGAGCCGGGACATGCACAGCTGTGTTGCTGTGAGGTAGGGCTATCACGACATACTTCGTACAGCGGAAACGGTGCAGGTTTGGTGCAGCCATGGCTGATGGGCAAAATATATCTGTTGTCCCAACCTGCCACCCGGGGGGGGATTAGTGTCTAAATCCCCCCCCGTCTGTATCTCCGCCCACGAGGCACCAATCGAGCCAGGACACGCACGGCTGTGTTGCTCTGAGGTAGGGCTATCACGAGATACCTCGTACAGCGGAAACGGTGCAGGTTTGGTGCAGCCATGGCTGATGGGCAAAATATATCTGTTGTCCCAACCTGCCCCCCGGGGGGGGATTAGTGTCTAAATCCCCCCCCGTCTGTATCTCCGCCGGAAATGTGGACGAAGACGGACAACCGCTTCCTCTACACGACGACGACTTTGACCAGATACGCAATTTGCGCCTCAAGCTCAACATTCTCCAGGTCGCACCACCTGATACCGATCTGGAGAGAGACTCGTTAGCTGACGGAACCTGCAGAGGACAACACCATGTGGGCTCGTACATCGCTGCCAGCTTTCTTCTTGGAATTGATCGCCGGCTTCCCTATCGAACTGGTCGCGGCCGTTCGATACAAGTATTCGGCGAACAATCCTAGCCACCTCGTCGCATTCGGGCCTCACAACTTCCATTTGTGTTCCTGTTTACAGCTTTTGCGGCGCGGACTGCCTTGCAGGCACTACTTCGCGGTTCTTGTCAACCTCATCGGGAGAACTGGCGGGGAGGACGAGTTGAGCTTTACGCATGCCTTCGACGGTGCGTGTGTCCACAACCGTTGGCGTCAATCAGACGACGGAAAGGTTTTGCCATGGAGCGTCTCAGCCGTGCTGTCGTCGTCAGGCCACGGCGAAGGATGGGACGGGCATCACCAAGGAAGCGATGACCACTGCTGGGGACCGACATGCGATGAATCGTTCGATGGCGCACACCCCGCTGAACGCGCGGTGCGGGCCGCGCAGGATAGAAGCGCTGCCGACAAACGTCGCGTCTACGCCCATCTCATGGCGAAGAACAAGGAGAACGTAGGAGACATTATGAGGTCCGTACCCCTTCACCAAGCACTGTCTGTCCAGGTCAAGATTGACGATTTCCTCGGGTATCTTCTGAAGGAGGCCGCGGGAGGCACAGGAGGACCCCAAAATCCTGGGCAAGCACCCAAGAAAGGGAGACCTAAGAAGGACGGCAAAGAGGGAGCTGGCAACCCTGCGGGCCAGAGAGGAAAATCCCGTCAGACTAGGAGAATGAAGGACTTCAGCGACGTGCCACGGACGAACAAGAGGAGAAAGCTGAAAGGTGCTGATACCAGCACCTAACCAGCTGCCCTTGCGTGTGTACCTTAGTCTGACTTTCACGTCGCATTGACGACCGGGAGGCAACACGTTGGTGGCGGCGAACATACGTTCATCACCTATGTCTCAACATGTTTGGGATTGTTTTCGATCGTTTGCGAGTATTTGCGTTGTCGTTGTTTTTTCTTCGTTGTTTTTTTTTGGAGAGCGACACCAAACGAATGAGTCATCAATCCCTGATGTGAGGAACGTTACATTTGGGCACGGTACAATGTATAGACATAGCGATCACAGCAGGGGTGCAGTGCTGCTGCGTGCTGTGTGTTGTGCGTTCATCATCTTTTACAGTTCTACCTCGGGTCTTGTGCGGCCATCAGAGCCTTGTACAGAGGTGCGAGGTTCATGGTGGGGTATTTGACATACCCCCCCCCCTCCCCCTGCAGGAGCACATCCGTAGTTTACCCCACCGGCGGTGTTACCACCTGAACGGAACCCTTCGGGCTACGTCGTTTGGGCTAACGATGGGTCATACGGTGGACGGTAGCCCTACATCGAAGAAACACAGTTGACATGTCCTGTGTCGACTGAAGTCTTGTGTGACGACATACCGCTGGGGGGGGTAAACAAGGCTATAATGTACCCCACCAGTGAGACGGCGGTGTTCGCATCCCACTGGGTGTGTGTAAAACTGTGGGCAGGAATACTTGATGTGATGGTCGCCTCACCTGCTGCCCGCTGCTGTGCGCTGTACGTGCATGTTTTCACACACTTCTACCGGTGTT